GTCAGGGTTCTCCATCTTCTCCAGGAACATGTCCAGCTCGTCCTTGTTCCGGATGGGTTTGTAGATCTTCTTGCCATCCAGGTTGTAGCCGATGTGTGGGAAGTCCTGGTACCACTCCATGGGGATGTTTCCCACCGTGTTACGGATGTCCTGGAGGGGAGCAGAGGGGAGAGGTGTCAGGGAGACCTTGGAGCCCCTTTCCAGGGCCTGAAGGGGCTCCAGGAGAGCTGGAGAGGGACTGGGGACAAGGGATGGAAGGACAGGACACAGGGAATGGCTTCCCAGGGTTAGATGGGATATTGGGAAGGGATTTTTTCCCTGGGAGGGTGGTGACACCCTGGCATGGGTTGCCCAGAGCAGCTGTGGCTGCCCCATCCCTGGAATTGCTCTGCCTGTGCCCTGTAGCTCCAAACCCTCCTGGTGAGAGCAGAGCAAACAGCTGGATGAACAGGAATGGTTCAGGAGCAGGGGGACAGGGGCTGGTGGCAGGGGCTGCCCCTCAGGATGAGGAGAAAGGGACCTCTCTCCCCAGTAATGGGATCCATGTCCCACCTCAGCAGTTGGATCCATCTCCCCACAGCAGTGGGATCCACATGATCATATCAGTGGGACCCATATCCCCTCATCAGTGGGATCCACATCCCCTTAGCGGGATACACATCCTCACAACAGTGGGATCCACATCCCCACATCAGTGGGATCCACATCCCCTCAGCAGGATACACATCCCCTCAGCAGGATCCACATCCAATCATCGTGGGATCCACATCCCCTCAACAGCAGGACCCACATCCCCACATCAGTGGGATCCACATCCCCACATCAGTGGGATCCACATCCTCACATCAGTGGGATACACATCCCCACAGCAGCAGACATCAGCAGGATCCACATCCCCTTATCAGTGGGATCCACATCCCCTCAGCAGGATCCACATCCCCTCAGCAGGATCCACATCCCCACATCAGTGGGATCCACATCCCCTCATCAGTGGGATCCACATCCCCCCATCAGTGGGATCCACATCCCCACATCAGGGGGATCCACATCCCCTCATCAGTGGGATCCACATCCCCCCATCAGGGGGATCCACATCCTCACATCAGTGGGATCCACATCCCCACATCAGTGGGATCCACATCCTCACATCAGTGGGATACACATCCCCACATCAGTGGGATACACATCCCCTCAGCAGGATCCACATCCCCACATCAGTGGGATCCACATCCTCTCAGCAGAATCCACATCCCTTTAGCAGGATCCACATCCTCACATCAGTGGGATCCACATCCCCTCAGCAGGATCCACATCCCCTCATCAGTGGGATCCACATCCCCTCATCAGTGGGATCCACATCCCCACATCAGTGGGATCCACATCCTCTCAGCAGAAT